GAATTCTTGACCTCTTCCAACAGAGTCTTGGAGATCTTACTTTATGCCGATCAGGGCAGCTAAATCTTGAGAACTTCTTGTAGGATTCTTTGCTAGGTTCCTTGCTTGCCTTCTCAACTCAGCAAACAGTCCTTTACTTCTTTCTTGTTGCCATCAAAAGTTAGTCCTAAATCCTCTTTTTTATTTTAAATTCATCCTTGAAAGGACACAGAATAACTTCGTTTCTTCAGTTGGACAGCAATGGTGGATTTAGTATTTAAGAAATAAATATATATAACAAAGGCATACTGTTCATACCTGTTGGCTTCCTAATAATGCATCACAAGTCCATGCTACCACACAGCCAAAGATAGCAGCTACATTGGATTTGGAGTGGACTGAATAAAACTCCTACAGAGAATTTTGATTAGATTGTAGGCTCGATTTTTTTTTTTTCCACTAATATTCTGTTTGGGAAAACATCTCGGATACTCTATAAATACTTCGCAGTGTAAATATGTTTTGGTAGTTTAATTATCGGGGTGATGTTATAGATTAGATCAATATTTTTAAAAAATTATGAAAAAATATTAGTTTTATATGGATTTATTTGATATTTTTATTAAATTTAACTTGGTAAATCAACTTTCAAACCTCTAAATTCGAATTCTTATATTTAAAACTAATTCACATTAGAATTGTTTTAATATAATTTAATAGATTTAAAAACAACTTAAATAATCAATAAAGACCATTGTTTAACTTAAAGATGAAGGTAATGTTTTTTTATTTAAATATTAAAATAATAATATATTATATAAACTAGAGTTTCATATTTTAACATATTAAACTTACAACCCGAGTCATGAATTTAACTAGGTGTAACAATTTAAAAAAATAATAATTAATGATATGATAACAAATAGATACCCACAAAATTGAGTATTAACTAAATACCGAGATATTTTTTTCATTATTTGACTTAAAGATAAATTGAAGGTAATGCCTTTTTATTTAAATATGAAAATGATAATAGATCAATTAGAGCTAAACCTACAAGCCAAGTCATTAAATTCACTAGATTTAATAAAAAACAATTAAAAAAAATTACTTAATGATATAATAACAAATTTAGATACCTATAAAATTGAGTATCAATTAAATACCGAGATATTTTTTTAGATTGCAGTAATTTCATAAAAAATAAACTAAAACAAATTATGAAGATTAATTTAAACTCAACCAAATATTGAAGATAAAATTTAAAAGAAAATAAGACAAAAAGGATGAGAAAATTTGAAAGATGGATTTAAAAAAAAAGAAGAAAAAAAAGTCTGACCTAATGAATCAATCTTAAAACCTCTCAACCTAACTCTTAGTCTAGCCTGGATTTAAAATTAATTTGCATAGGAGTTACCATGATGTGACCTAATCAACTTTGTAGATTCAAATACAACTCAAGCAATGGATAAAAAGTATGATTTGGCTTTTAAAGAAATGTTAAGATGATAATTTATTTTAATACTAGGACAGTGATATATTAAATCAGCTCGGGCTTCAAGCTTAACTTTCTAAATTTGCGATACCATAGTTTTTAAATCCGACCTAGTCCAAGGCCCGGGTTTTGGGTTTTGATTAGGTCACCCGGGTTAATTTTTTTAAATCAAAACGATATCGTTTTAGTAAAAAAAAAAAAATCAACAGGTTGCAATCGGGTTTTTTTGGTTTAACCCACCAAGTTACACCGGGTTTTTCCTTTCCCTGTTTTTTCTTAACCCAGCCCAATTCCAGCTTCGTGTCGACCAGATTCAGGGTCGACCTGCTGGGCCAGACCGGGTTTCAAAACTATACGCGATACAAATAATGGGCTCTACAAAGCTTAACAACTGTTTTTTTAACTGTTTTTTTATTTAATAATATGATAACAAAAATAGATACTTACAAAATTAAGCACTAACTAAATATTGGATGTGTTACTTAAAATAGTGATAATATCATAAAAATAAACTGAAATAAATTATAAAAACTAATTCAAAATTAATATAATATTAGAGGATAAAATTTTAAAAACAAATTAAAAGGAATTCAATTAAAAAAAAGTAAGAGTAGCAAAAAAATGGTTAATATAAACAATTAAAAAGTTAGGTTCACCTCACTTTTTTTAGGAGGATAGGTAATGTGATTTTCAAAACAAAAACAAACAACATATAAAAATAAAAATAGAGATCGCATCTACTAATATATAATTGTTTGTGGATTTATAAAGTAGAGGATGTAAGTTTAATTTTGGTAGAACTAAGTTTAATTTTGGTAATATGTGCAGTGTAGCGTGCTTTTATAAAAAATAATTTAATGAAAAATATATTAAAATGATAATATTTCACTGTTTCTTACATTAATATATTAAAATTATCAAAAACACTTAAAAAACATCAAGAAAAAAATTATAAACTAGTTAAAAGGGATATAAATATCTTTTCATTTAATCATGTATAATAAATTGATAGGTATGCCATTAAGATCAAAAAAATTAAACAGTAGGTTAAAGGGTCTTTCAGTCTTTTTATTTAGGTTTTTATGTAATCATCAAAGTAATCAATGATATTTTTTTTTAGTATCAATTAAATATTAATTAATTTGAAATAATTTTTAATTTATATAATGCACACACTAAGACATGAGAGGCATGCACGCTTTTTGAGCGATACATGAGGTACTTCCGAGTAAAAGAAAATGTTATTCTACTATGTTATTGAATGAGTCACCACTTTCTCTTCCTCCTGTTGTGGCACTTGTAGGCAGAGATGGAATGGTTTGTTATTGGTTGATTCTTTTTCTTTCTTTTATCATGAAAAATATAGGTTGGTCATATTTTTTTCTTGATATACCGACTTTAATTCTTATTCTTTGGATTTCTAATTTTTATCATTGATCTTTTTTTAAGGTTTTATTTATTTTTAATTTTAATTTGTCATATATAGTTTTTTTTTAATGTCATCCTGTTTCTTTTAATATCTAAAATATTTTCTTAGTGCTTTTCTAAAAAAATTTATTGTTTTTGACTTCGTCCTTCAATCCAAGTCCATGATGCATTTTTTTTTAATTTATTTCTCATTTTTTTTCTTGATATTCTTTTTTTCTTTTTAATTCAACCCCCTATTAAAATTTTATTCTTGCCCGCTAATTTATTTTTTATTTTAATTTTCACTCTTATTTTTTTAATTATTATTTTTTATTTTAGATATTTTTGTGCGCTTGATTTTATTTTTTTTATTTCATCATCTTGTATTTGATTTGTTAGGGTTTGAGTTTTATGGTTTTTTCATGTATGTTTCTTTTGGTCTAATGACCTAGGTCACAAGATTTTAAAGTTAATGTAGTTCAATGTTTTTTCTTTTATTATTATTGATCTCATAATCTAGGCCACATATTTTGTAGGTTAAAGCTAGTTGGTTTGCCTCTCATTATTTAAGTTATATGTTTATCACGTTATCTAAAGTTGACTTATACTGTTATTTTTTATCTTATTTTTTATTTAATTATGTGCTTCAAATGTCTTTTTTCCAAGTTGTCGTGGTTTTTTTTTTAAAAAAGCTTGTTCACTTATTATCATTGTCAATTTTTTTATTATTTAATTAGAATAATATCAATTTATTAAACTTGATTAGGGTTATAATTTAAGTCAAATTTGTTTTTTCTTTAAAACATGTTTACAGCATTAGACATTGTTTCCTATGCAAAAAAAAATATAAACCTACAACATACTGTGAGCCCTTGTCCATGTGTCCGTGTGTGCATATATATATATATCAAAGTTATTTAATGAGATGTGTTTGAGTCCTGATTAGGTAGGTTAATAAAGAAAAAATTCTTAGAAAAATCAAAATAATTTTTTTTATAAAAATAAATTAAAAAATAAAATTTATTTTTGAAATTGTCAAAAGTTAATTCATGTTGTTAACTAGATTACAATGAATTAATTTTTTTTATTTTTTTTATGAAACCTAACCCAAACAGGTCTCAGATTAAACCATTATACTCGTCCAATTTCATAACACTTATCTAAACATGGTAACCCTTTGCCCCATACCGATGCGATTGGACACCACACATCTCGACCAACTCATTCTAGCAAACACTAACTTTTAGAAGAAATCCTTTCTTGAATGAAGGTAATGCTATTTTGATCCGTGATTATAAGAAGATAACATAAACAGCTTATTGTGAATTTGAATAAAAACTAGATTTTAGGGTCAAGGAAATCAGGCCCTTACTCTTCAGTTTTTTGTTGAGATCTACACTATAGAGGTACGTGAATTGAATCAGTGATCGATTTCTAGGTTTCGTCGTAAACCGAATTGATTACTTAAAATTACGTAAATAAATCGTTCAAACCGCACTCAAAGGTAGAGCATTTCCCATTTTCATAGAACTAAAAATAATAATATTTTCAATTATCGCCCCTCTGGGAGGTAAAATATATCTCTTTTCATCATCTCTATTGATTCTCCAGCAATCTTTTTAGCAACCATCTCAATATCTCATTAAACATCCCGAGATTTGCTTTTTATTTTTTTTTATCTTTCTTAGCACTGCTGGATGCTTCTGACTTATAGAGACTATTGCTTTTCATCCTCGTTCGCTATTATCCGGGAGAGAGTTGACCGTTGTCTCCAAGTCAAACTCCGGTCGGTACTTAAAAATAAATTAAAATAATATTTTTTATTTTAAAAAATTATTTTTTATATCAATATATCAAAATAATATAAAAATTTAAAAAAATTTAAAATAAAATATAATTTTTTAAAAACATTTTGCCAAATGTAAAAACAAACAGCATTTTTGAAATCATAAAGTCCCTTGCCACGCGGACAGTTAGGATTTCACAAGAAAGCAACATCTGTTCCAAATACCAGAAAATAAAAAGCCTAATGTACACCGCGTTGCAGCATACCATCGTCTATCTTTATATCGCTCTCTGTGTCAAATAATTAGGTAATACAAGAGGAAAAAAAAAAAAAAAAGGCCGCTAATTTCGTGGAAACCGAAAATTAAAAAATAAAATAAAATACAGATCCAAAAAATTGAGTAGCCTCAGCTTCTGCCTTCTTCTGTTAAGTTATGCACTCGTGTGTGCAAGTGTAACTGTAACTATAACTGAACCAAACCTCACTTCCAAAACCCTAACTCTCTCTCTCTCGCTCACTGTATTTCCTGATTGGTTTCTGAGAAAATTCAGGTAAATCAGAAGAAAACAACTATTACTCCCTATCTCTCTCTCTCTCTAGCCTGTTTTTCTCTATTTTTCCTCTTGTTCTTAAATTTGCGAATTAATTTCTTGTTAAGATGGTTAATTTGACTGAGTTATAGTTTGTTTGACGTTAATTATTGAGTTCATTGGAGCGTTGTTGTTATGTTGTAGAAATTGGAAATGTATTGATTGGTAACTGCAAGTATTTATTTTCTTTCAGTGACTATAGTGTTTTATAAATTTAGTGACTAATGCTATTTTTTTACCTACTGGAATCAAGAATTCTTTTTTTTTTTAATTGGTAAATTTTAGACTATTAGTGGATTAGATTAGTTGAGATGAACCATTTTTGGTGTTCATTTGTTTTCCGCTTCCAAATCTTCCGGCTTTAATGCGGTTTCTTTGTTTTGTTTTGTTGTTTTAGATTCAATTGTTATCTTATATAGTGCAAATACAAGACTGATATTTATTGACATAAATATTAATTTGTGCTTCTGCGAATACTCAATTAGGGTTTCATTCTTAATTTCTTTTCAGTTAAAAGTCAAATAATTGAGTCTTTTTATTGCAAGAGGTTGTTACGCAGGCACACACATAGAGGCATAGGTGATGGATATTGGTTTTCATTTTAAGTAAATAGGTTTTGTCTCATGCAGGATATTTGTGGAGATTGGTCTGTGGATTGCTAGAAGTGAAGCTGCTTTTAAATTCAAGTATGGGGACTGGGAATGATGAGCTTTTGAAATCTGATTTAGGGCTAAGTGATTCTCACTCCCAACCAGGTAGTAATGAGACTAAAGAAAGTAAGGATGATGAGGAGAGTGTGGAGCTCAATGAAGGTGCTGTTGGAAATGATGAAGGTATGAAAAATGGGGAGAGTGTGGAGCTCAATGAAGGTGCTGTCGGTAACAATGAAGGTACAAAAAATGGGGAGAGTTTTGAGCTCAATTTAGGTGTTATTGGAAATGATGAAGTTATAGTCGATCCAGGGTATTCAGCGTTTAAAGGAGGTAATACTGGAACTGAAGAAGCTGCAACAGATCAGAGTAATTTGGCGCTTGAGGAACGTGGCATTGGATCTGAAGAAGTCCACTTTGCAGTGGAAACAGAAGTTGACATGGATTTGGTTGATTCGCCTGTCAGGCAAGCGAATATTGAAGTGGTTGATGCCGTTATAGTTTCTAAGAAACCAAATATTTCAAGCATCACAGGGAATGTCGAGGATTGTTTCCTTGATACACAAAATAAAAGACTTATCCAGCAAGAGAAGGTTGATGGCAGTCGTATCCTTTCTTAACCTCTGATAACTTAATCCTTTTATTTGTTTATTATCCAAATCAACTCTAGATGGACCCATTAGTTTTGAGGACCATAATTCCAGAAAAAAACTTACCTTCCAGAATTATATGCTGCAAATAACCTCAATAATTGAAAGTCAATATGAAGAATGTTATATCCATGAAAATCACTTTTACAGTTGCAGTTTAATCTGATTGCTCCCTTTTTTGTCGTGTTTTCCCTAATCCAATATGCCAGATGTATCAGGTGTTAAGAGAAAAAGGATAACATATAATGAAGAGCAACCTTCAGTGCATGTCATGTATAACTCCTTAACAAGGTCAGGGTGGAAGTGTTCATAATAACTTTGCAAATTCAAGAATTTAAAACTTTATGTTTAGATTTCTTGTTGAATAGCTGTGACTGTTATCATTCTGGAATTATTGGAGCCATTATGTCATATTATTAGAGTTAGCTTGGATTCTCATTTGTTGAATTCCTTGGTGATTGTTTTGCTCTTCCCAGAGCTAGCAAGAAAAAGCTTGAGGAACTGTTACAACAGTGGTCAGAGTGGCATGCTCAACAGAACTCTTCGTCTCATGTAAGGCTTGATATTCTCTGCTATTTAAAATTGCGGTAATATGCAAAATTTCACCTTTTTATCTTTTCTAGTTTGGGTGGCTTGGTTTGGCTTGACCATTGAAAAGTTAGGAAAGTATTTCCACCACATCATCCAGAGTGGACTGGTAGAAAATCTAGTGTAAATATTCTTACATTTCCATTAGAAAGAGAATTTTTCAGATATCCTATTGTGAATGCTGACAATCTGTTGCTATTTTCTCTGATGCTTCATATTCTTTATCAAACCAATGACTTGTCTAAACTACGTATCTCATTCTTTCAGGATTCTGACGAGATGCTACAATCTGGTGAAGACACTTACTTTCCCGCTTTACGTATCGGCATGGAGAAGTCCTCTGCAGTGGTAATTTCCTTCTTCTTCTTCTTTTTTTCCTTTGATCCTGCATCCATATAGTTTTTAAGTTAAAGGACTAGCCAAGTTATTAATCATGAAGAACATTTTGTTCTCACAACATTAGATGCTTCAGGATGTATTTTCTGTGATCCCGTTGCATTATCAATAAAGCTAGTTGGATTACAACTATATACCCATGTTAAAGGAAAATATAGCAAAGATATTTTCCATCATAAATTTTCTAGTTTCATTTTCTTGTGATGGGATTCTGTTTTGGTATATGGCCTGAACCCTGATCGAGCTCTTTATTGAAGGACCTTAAAGAAAATAAAAGAAAGGCCCTTCAATTTTGATATGGAATCCTAAAGTTTGGAAGTGGATAATGTAGTTCTTAGATAATCTCTGGCATGTGTTACTGCACCTTCGATGCACTGGTGTCCAATTATTTGAGCTATTTCTTAATGCTAAAATCTAAAAAGCACATATGGAGCTTGTTTATATTCTAAAAAATGACCACAGAGCTTTCATAATGTAAGATGTTAATAGGCATATATTAGCCAAACATGCTCTACTTGGAACACTGTTATCACTCTGTAGGTCAGTTCATTATCCATTACCATGGAAGATTACATACACAAAAGTACAAATATTTTCTGTTCGAGTTCCAAGTTTTTATACAATTTGCAATTGTGGGATTTTTCTTCTTTTCTTTATGGGGTTTGGAGTTTACACTTCTCAAGCCATTTTTACCTGAAAATTTTCTCTCATGACTGCACTCCACTCATTGTAGAGCAGATGTGAAGGCCACACCATCATAGTACAAAGATATTCTTTCTTTTTTGAATTTATATTCTCTAAAAGAGATTAAAAGTTAGGATTGCATGCCTTTTCTGTGTCATCCGTTTTTCATTTGATTTTTTTTATGTGCAGACCTTCTGGATTGAAAACCAAACGAGGAAACAGCAGGACAATGCCATAATTCCTCTGCAAAGTAATTATGTGCCTCTGTATGATCGTGGATATGCATTGGGTTTGACTTCAGCAGATGGTCCAATTAACATAGAAGGGTAAATGATATTGACTCATGTACCATTCACAAATTTCATGTTTTGAATATATAACATTTTTGGTTGGCGTCCGACATGCTCAGAATACTTTCAAATATCTTAAGTTGCTCAAAACTTGTTGATTGCTATGTATGTTGAAAAACTTTGGGTATTAGCATTCATGATGATTTTTTTATTGTGATGGGGGCATTGTATGTCATGGGTTGGCAAAATATAATGTATTGGAGAGTAGTTAACCACAAGGGATATCCATGTGGATGCGTGTTTATCACTGAGTATCACTATAACCTGGTATCACTATAACCTTGTTTTTCATTTCCATTGGCAACTTGGAATGTGTAACTAATTACATACTTTAATGAAAAGAGGATCTGAGAAAGATCATTAGAAACTCAAGTTTGTTCAGCCCATTAGAATAGTTGCTGCATTCATATCCTTCATCTATATAACAAGGATCTTGCATTTTGCATCAGATGATAATCCATTGATGATTTTATGGGGCCAATTTTCCTGGTTCAAACCTGTCAAGACATAGTAATTCATTAATTATAATTCTATTCTTCTTTCAGTTTTCTGATTCAACCAGTGATTCTTCTTATATTATATATTTGTTTTATGAGGGTTCCTGCATATTGTTTATCATATTTTAGCTATTGCCTTCCATTTCTATAGAGGCTTGGAGATAGTAGGTGATGCTCCACGTTGTTATAACTGTGGTGCGTACAACCACTCTTTGAAGGAATGCCCTAAGCCTCGTGATAATGCTGCTGTTAATAATGCTCGCAAACAACACAAGTTCAAGCGACATCAGAATTCTAGTTCCCGCAATCCAACACGCTATTATCAGAGCTCTTCAGGTGGAAAGTATGATGGTTTGAAGCCAGGTTCTCTTGACACTGAAACACGAAAACTTTTAGGTCTTGGGGTAAGAGCTTACTACATCGTATCATTAGTTTCTCCTATCACACATGAACCACCCCCCCACCCCCCTACTGGCTAGAGCCTTGGCTCAAATACAATAGCAAGTTTAAAAGCCCGTACACAATATAAGGCCAGACCAAACGTGGTATACAATATACAGTAGTGCACCATGCATGGATTAGATAGTGTGATGGATCTTCAGCTGAAGAGTATTGACATTTTGTTCATGAGATTTGTTTTTCCCTTTTTTTTGGAATTTGTTGTGCAGGAACTTGATCCTCCACCATGGCTTAACAGAATGCAAGAGCTGGGATACCCTCCAGGGTATCTAGGTAATGCAGTCCATTTCACCTCTTTGTCAGATATTGCTCTGTTGATTTTGGTTTCCCTCTACATTGTCTAGTATTCTTCTTTATGTTTGGATTTGTCATCTTTTTGCCAATTTGCTCACCAGGAAAATGTGGTCCTTTATAGAATTTGAATAAGGTATTCAAGGATCATGACATAAATTCCCTCCTGTTGCCCTTGGTTGTTGCATGGATTGGAGGCCTAGTTTCATTTAATTTATGTTAGTGGATTTGTAAATGTAGAGTGACCGACTTTGTTTGGTAAATGTCATCTAAGCTAGTGTGGTTGGAGGCCAGCAAGGATAAGAAAAGCTAATGTAGCCCAAAGAAAATTACGATTCCAAATTCTTGCTAATATTTTGCACTTCATAGCTCAAATAAGCTTTAGCTGACCTCAGCTAGTTTTTGGATTGAGGCTTCGTTGCAGCTGTTGCATAGTTCACCTAAGCTGATAGGCTGATGCTAGTGCACAGTGAGTACCAATTTACCTGAGGTCAGAGAAAGCTATCACTATCCATCTTCTTGCTCTTTGGAGATTTTGGTCCGACAAGTACCTGAATTTTCAGTGGAGGCAATAACCATATTCCAAGCCAATTAGATTTAATGTCTCTGCTACTGTAAATGTAGATCAAACCTTTGTTTTCCCTGAACTTGAGGCCATGCATATTAAAGGCAGTTAGGACTCCAGTAGAGATTATTGAGCATGTTAGAAATGATGCTTGAGGTAATCACCTCCCACATACAAGAAGAGACTACAGAACATCATGATAGTTCCAGGTTACGCTTAACTACATTTGCGGTTTTGTTTCCATTTGATAAGCTACAAATTGCCACATGTTATTGGTGGTGGAGGTTGTTTTGTTGTCCTTGTTGCTGCCATCCCCAATAACTGAAGTCATTGTTTTTGGCAGCTTTTATTTATTCACAAGTATTTTTGCCATCATAATCTCTTTATGCTCGCATTGCAGATCCCGATGACGAGGACCAGCCATCAGGGATCACAATATTTGCCGATGGGGATGTCAATGAGGAACAGGAAGATGGGGAGATTATGGAAACAGACCTTCCTCCTGAACCACAGAGGAAAATGTCAGTTGAATTTCCTGGAATAAATGCGGCAATCCCAGAAAATGCAGATCAAAGACTCTGGGAAGTTGGGCCTACAAGTTCTGATCCATGGAGGCACCGATCGCAGCATAGATTGAAATATTCTTCAGAAGCTACAGGTAGATGGCATCATCACGAGCAAAGACAGTATAGGGATGATGGACCTCCAGGTGTTGATTCGGTGTTTAGCCCATCCATGTCTAGTTACCCTCCGAGGTATGGTCATCATGATTCTAGTTACAGTTCTGACAGCCCAAGGGATCTGACCCCTGCCTTTGGGAGGTCCAATTCCGATAGAGGAAGGAGCGCTTCGGTACATGAAGATTTTGTAAGCCATGGTTCTACATCATACTCATCCTTAAGAAAACGTTCTTCGCCACAGGATATCGGCTCAGCAAGGTACAGGACTGATAACAGCCAGGATGACTATGACACGGATTATTCATATCGGGATTATTCATGCGATCGCCATCGCCATCGTAGCAGGCGGTAAATGGGCAGTAGACTTGATTGTAACATGGTAGCCTGGGTGCGATATTCTTTGTAAGATACCTGCTTCCCTTTCCCTTTAGTCCTTGACTAGAGATGCACATTCGATTTCTTTCTCCAGGAGAATGTTGTATAGCACAGTACTAGCTGGTCGTAACTAGTTTAGATGCTTTCTGCAATGCTCCTCCGGTGGGAGTTTGTTTAATGTTTTCGGTATCCATCTTTGTTGCTTTATACAAATTGCAGATTGTGTTTATCAGGAATCTCCGGAGGATCTCGTGGATTTTGATGCACTGTCACATTGTGCCAAGATAGGATGATCTCGAGCAGGTGGATAAATAATTTAATTTTTAACAGGAAAAAAATGTGAACTTCAACCAAAAAATAATAATTATAAATTGATCATGAACGTTCAAAGTTTATAAAACTGTGGCCAGAAAAATGTTGAGGTGTCTTGGGTTTCATTATGTAATGAACTAGCAGCACTAAGAGAAATTTGACATGGAACTCTACATAGTGAATAGACTCTAAAAGTAGTTGTATTATGCCTAACCATGCAATGCCCCCACAAAGGGAACCTGATATAACCAAGGAAAAAGATGGCAGTTGAATGATGTGTGAGTTTACATCTTCCCCAATCTGCTTGCAGATCTATATACACAAATATGTCAAATGATGAATGGTTCTCTTTTATGGATTGCAAGCCATGAGAAGATTCCAAACCTGGCCACTTCATGCTTTAACACAGATCATCAAGCAAGCTTCAATCATCACAGGATATGAAATGGTAGGCTGTAACAACAGAGAATTCACCACCTGATTCATGGGTTCGATATCATAAAATTAAGCTATCATGTTATTAAGCTTTGGAACTCCATCATGTCGAACATGATCAACCAAAATGCCTACATTATTCACCCATTAATCTTCCAAAAATTTATCAACTATCCTTTCCCGGCCATCCACAACTCACTCTTTATAAGAAAACCTTCCGCCAAATCTTGGACGTGGACCCTTTTCTCTTTGGAACCAAACCCAACTGACTAAAAGTCATTATATCATCTTTTAAAAAAATTTGAAGAAATCAGCTTGGGTCATTAATCCCCAGGTAATCTTTAATGACACAAGTCCTTTATTTCATCAAGTGCACTCTACTCTATTGTATCCCCCAAACAAAACTTTGATGCAATTTGTCAATAGCCTCGCGCACAAACCCAGGGGAGATGAGTTGTCTACATTGCATACATCAGTATAGTATGGACTACAAAAATGCAGAGAGCGACTCTTCCGGCTACAGAAAAATTGTGTATTTTTCGAAGCTGAGAATTTGCTCCAAACTCTCTCAACAATATCTTTGATGTCAGATATCATCAATATAAAACCATCTCCATTGCTGATTGCATTTTGATACCTGTTTATAGGTGTTTTCGGAGAAGAAAATATTGGTTTTGAAAACACCAATTTTTTTTTACCAAATGAGGCACACAACTTCTTTAAGCATCCCAAAATAACATCAATATGATTTTACAGAGGACTCCACAGAGAATTTAATCACCAACAAAAAACAAATGTGAAATTCAAGCCCCCTTTTTCCAATGCTACAGGATTCCATTTTCTAATATGCACTTGTTATGTAATTAAATGAGTAAATTCTTCCATGCATGATACATAAAATATACCAAGAAAAAGGGTCGCCTTGTCTAATGTCATGTGAAGGACTGAATTTTTCTGAAGCTGCTCCATTATAAAGCAATTGCATAGAAAAGGACCATGACATGCAAAAAGAAACAATATAGATCTCTGTCAACGAAACACATAACCAAAGACAAAATTAATAGCATCTTTAAGCCAAGTATGAAATCCATAAAAACATGAAATGCACAAACACAAAGACCTCTTATCACAGTCTCTTTCATCCACCACTGACCCAAACATCATTTAATTGGCATGTCTTTCCCTAAGAGCATCAAGAACCCGAAAAAAGGACTTTAAAAGCTCAACATACATCCACCACTGACCCAAACATCATTTAATTAGCATGTCTTTCCCTAAGAGCATCAAGAACCTGAAAAAAAAAAGGACCTAAAAGCTCAACATACAGCAAGAATAAAATCCAAGGAACAACTTAAAAATAAAACACATCTCTCTCAAAATCCTCATCAAACACTTTGTGGGCAACATGTAAAGAAGACAGTCCAAACTAATTAAAACACTAAACTAACCCTATCATCTGCCTCCTATCATTCACAGTGCTACTGCACAACACTAATTTATTTTTCAAAACATGAATACACATAGATGGCTCGGTAACGGACTGACCCATGGATGATGGAAAAGGCTCAAAGTCTAATTCAGTTAGTTCCCTGACGCTAAACCCATGAATGCAAAACAACAGGAAAAACTCAAAGCAGGGACCTAAACCAGAAGCAAACATCGTCTGTGTCTGATCCATAAATGGAGGTGAATAAGTTGCATGATGAACCGCTATATAATTCCTTACCTGCACATAAAAGGGGCATGGAGAAGCTCGGGAATGCCTTCAAAAGAACCAACCCAACCAACTTATACCTAAGTCAGCAAGCTACAACAGCTATTCCTTCTCCAAATTTTAAACCTTTTTAAGATGAAAAACAACTAAATTCAAATTCCAACCCCAAGAAACATACAAATAACCCAGCACTATGTAGCTTGCAACCAAATAGAAGAAGATAAATCTGAAAAAAAGAAAAAGAAATTGATGCTTGAGCAGCAAAAAACGTAACTCACATGTCAAAACCTTGCCATATTGCCTTCGATGCAAAAGAGAAGGCCACTACGGCAGTAACCTTCCAACTCTGCTCTGAGCCCCCACGAACTGCATAGAGAGAGTTGTTAGCACAATTCTAATTCATCAAAAAGAAAATCCAACAACATCAGTAACAATTTAATGCAATAACACAGAAATAGCTCCCAAACCGACGAATTAAAATCCCACAAAAGAAGAAATTAGATTAAAATCTAAAACCCAGCACGAAATAAAAGTGCAGAAATATCCTAGAAATAAAAACCCATAACCAAAAACAACAAATAAAAAAGAATCCATAATTTCCCAAACAGGAATCAAAAAAGATCATGAGAAACTAGGATTTCAAAGGATAAACCTTCCTTTGTTTTTTTTCACAGATTCCTATCTACATTGAAAGCACCATCGTAGCACCACGGACCTCATGATCGTTGGTGCAAGAGCAAGACCCTCTTACTGGATCCTTTTCTTCTCCATAACAGCCTCTCTCGTATGTCTTTCCCCTATCTGTTTGGTTTCAAAAAAGAAGAAGGTAAAGAAATAGATTAGCTTCCAAGAAGTTAAAAAGCAAAGGAAAATCATGGCCTCCAGACAACCACGCCTCTCAATAAATGGAAGGGACACAGAAAGCAGGAGAAGAAATTGAACATAATATCGCGAGATCAACAAATTTTCTGGCGAGAAACAATGCATAAATCCACAATAAAATACCTCACAATACACAGTGTGTGTGTGCGTGCGTAATTTTGGGTTCATACAAAAAGAAATATAGGCTGAACTTAATGAAATTGGAATTGACAAATTTAAAACCTTTTGAAGATAATAATATTTTCTTAGTAAAAAAAACTAAAATAAATAAAAATAAATTGTTTTATCAAAACGGATAAAATTAGCAGCATAAAAATTTATCACTTAATTTGGAAGAAAAAAAAAACTTTTATAGGCAGTTTGTTTTAGGAATTGAAACCGTGATTCATGATTTTTTAAATTTTTTATTTTAAATTAATTTTTTTAGTATTTTTAGATTATTTTAATATAAATAAATTTTTTAAAAATAAAAAATATTTTCATATATTTTTAAGTAAAAAATAATCGCTATCACACTTTCAAATACTATCTTCATATTTATTTTTTTAATTTAAGATAAATATTAAAATATCCAATACAAACTAGTATAATTACACATATTTTACAGGAGATCAATATTAATTTTTGAAAAATATAAAAAATATGAAGAATATTTTAATAAAGTTATTAAATCTAATTAAAAGAGTTAATTTTTAAAAAATATTTTAATAAAGTTATTAAACCTAATCAAATAAGTTAATTTTTAAACCTCTACTTTGTATTTTGTCAGACCTAAGTAGACCTAAGTATTTTAGGTTTGATAATTGAGCTTAAACAAAAAAAAGTGAGTTTGAGAATGTTAATTATAAATTATTCTCTTTTTTTTTGTTCAATAAAACCAGTTAATTAATCCTTAAAAATTTAAAAAGTAGATTTAGGTTCACTTTTGCATTGTTATTTTTAAATATTTTTGAATTTTATTATTGACCTAAGCTTCTAGGTCTAATAAATAGGGGTGATCATTTTATATTTGGTTCGGTTTTTATCTAAAAAGAAACCGAACTAAAAAAAATATACCCGAAACTGAACCAGAACCGACCCAAACCGACCGGTTTTAGACTGAAAACCTATATGCATTTGTTTGGCTTTTTTGGCTTTATAATAGGCTTTGTTACGGGATTCTAATGGATTTTTAATGGGCTTGAAATTAATGTTGATATTGTCTCATTTTCTTTGAAGATTCCAAATATATTTAATTTTTTTACCCCTAAATAATATTCAATTGTATTAAATTATTATTATCAATCTTATGTTTATTAAGTTTCTTTTGCCACTTAATATTCATTTATATGAAATTATTAATGTAAATCTTGTGTTCAATATATTTTTTATCTTCCTAATATTTTTCTGCTTCCAAAAAGTTTAAAAAAAACACACTCACAATCACACACCAATAAGTTAAAATCCAAATTACAAACCATTGTCTTCAAAGGGCTTAATGAAAAAACAACAAATAATATTATCATAAAACACTTCAAGCCAAAAAAAATAATTTTTCATGTGCACATCGTCTCTATAAAAAAGTACATCAAGAGCATTGCACTTTGATTCTTGAAATTCATAATCTAGAATGATTACATAATAAATTAAATTAGAAGATATAAAAATAAAAAATAGTATTTATACCATACATTTTTCAATAAAAGCATCACAATTTGTGAACTAATTATCATCCATTGCTAAATGCAACTTTCCACTAAATTCTACAAAATAAAATATTAAACATTTTAGAATAAAAATGTGTTAATTAATAAATCATAAAATAAAATATGTAAGTTTTTAAGAACATTACCTAATTCAAGGTTTTCATAGGTTTCAAAATTATTCATCAATGTCGTATTATCAGTTGAAATTGGACCATGATACAACCAATTTTGACAACAAATAAGTGTTTGAATTGTTGCTGAAGATAGAGAATTTCGAAATTAGTTGAGTATACGACCGTCTGTGCTAAAGGTTAATTCAAAAGCTACTATGGATATAGAAATAGCTAGAACATGTTGTGTAACTTTCGAAAGCATCTTATATTTTGACGTATTAATCTTCCATCAACCCAAAATATCTAATTTATCATCATTATGATCTTCACAACCATCGACCAAATGCCTCTCAACCTCATTTCTATTTTCATACTATTTTTCTCCTGTAAGTGTCTTTTGAAACTCCATGTCATCAATAACATCATTAATATCTTGTTTATGCTTATTTTATGCTTATTATCATCCATCACTTCATCGGCTTTCAAATAAAACTCATACAAGCTTACTAAATTATCTTTCACTTTTTTTGTTAGCAAATTGTGCTTTGTCATAATCATACAACTCACCAAAATAAAATTTCACATATTTCAACTTAAGATTGGATCTAAAACATTAGCCACATACAATAAAAAATTCTGATTTGCTTTGCAACCCCAATACTTCTTAAACTTACTCATATGTTTATCGTCATTCTACCCAAAAGATTATCTCTACTTTTACACAATTGCAACAAGTTTGTATGTATATAAACAATTCATTGAAGAAAGAATTTAATGTGACATGCTCCGAGCCAAAAAAATTTAGTGTAACCATGTAAAAAATCTTTAAAAACTTTAGCAAAGTTCTAGCATTTTCCTAATCCTTCAAATTAGGTGGCCCTATATTTTTTTTATTCCCCTTTGAATCAATCTCTAAAAGGTAACTCATATATCTAGGTTCACTTTGACCTAACCTCACAAATACGTTTTCAAATTTTTCAGTAGCTTCTAATATAAAATAAGTTGAATTTCATCGAGTTGCAACATCTAAACACAATGATTTCTTACACTCTATATGCAACTTTTTTGCACACTTTTTAAATGCAAGTAGTCTAAAAGGTAAAAATCACACAAACTGATTAGTACTTAAAAGTGCATTTTTATCATGGTTTTATATCATCATTTTGCACTTGAAGTATCAATAACTCCTTAACCAAAGCATGTTTTATAATAATATATCAAATAATATAAGATACCTTTAATTT